TGGCTCTGCCTCAGTTCTCTGAGGCCAGTTGGGAAACAGCCCTTTTCTTTTCAAACACTAGTGCTTACGGCAGCCTCGGGACCAGTTAAGTTCAGGGCTCTTTTCTGATCTCAGGTTTTTATGTACCAAATCTATTTCTGTATTCTCCCTTCCTCTGTGGTGAACCAGTGCCATTACAGCTGTCACTGTCATAACTGGCTTAGCTCCAAGGTACTCTGTCATCTTTGGTTAATATACCCAAATTTGATTATGACATTCTGATTGTCCAGTATTGAATTTTAGCGAAATCTCTTTCACCCATCTTACTGAGGAGCAGTACTTACGGCTGCTTGAATCCCATGCTGCAGAGCAGCTAAGAATATAGCCTTCCTCTAAACTGCTGTCTTGAATCCCCAATCAGAATTTTACACCTCAGAACTATACTGTTTCAACAACTTTCTCATTTGTGTAATATGTGCAAATCATGATAAATCATTATCTATTCTTTCACTTGCAGTTCTATCTCATTGCATTAAAAGTGGTTATTTTTCTACACAAAGCCTCATTTTTCCCATTTAAGTGTTATGGCCAACAACATCATTTTTGGTTACACATTAATTGACCTAAACATTTCCCCACTGAAATACTTTTGTAGGAATGTATTTCATTGTGATTTATATTTTAATATTTGTATGTGCTGGGGATTAAAACAAGAGCTTCACACATGCTAAGCATGTGCCCTACCACTGAGCTACACATCTAGATCTCCCTGTATAAGAGATTGAGTCTCCCCATTTCTCAGGCTTGCTCCAAACTCCTGTGCTCAAATGGTCCTTCTGCTGGGACTACAGGCCTGTGCCACCATGCCCAGGATATCCTAATATTTTAACATGACTTCAGTCTACTTTTTTTTTTATTTTTTAGCTCACCCAGAAGTTCATCTTTGTAGAATTACAAATACAGACATATCCATTCACTAGACAGTGAATGAATGGGTAAGCCTTTGGTGGAGAGTTCTGGTATTTCTTTACCCCCACTAAGCAGAGTTCTTTATCACACTGAAACCACTTACCTGAAGTGTCTTTAATGATAGAATTCTATCATCTGTTGTTCCTGCATATGGACATTTGTTAAAATAATGTTTAAAAATGTCTATTTTGTGTAAACTGTTAGATTTTTCTGTATTATAATGTTTATAAAAAAATCATACAATAATCTGTCGTAATGACAGTAACTGAAATACCCCATTCCTTTAATGATGAGACATAAAATATTTTACCTTAAATAAGCCTAATTCCTTTTGAAAGCATGTACTACATAAAACTGAACACTTGCATTATCAACAAGGACAATGTTTTATTGAACAAATCTATGTACAGTACAAAAAATTTCTTGAAATGAGACACTATTGTTGATTTATTGCAGTTCAATGGCTCAGTTTTAATTTGTACTCTTATAAAATGCAAAGTAAAATAATTTAATGTTCAACAAGGAAGCACAAATTTCCTTTCTTGCTGAATCGGTAATATCTTTCACATATTACAATTCCAAAATGCGTATGCAGCATTTACTCATTCCAAAAAGGTGTTTTACAGTACCAAATAAATTAAAAAATAAACACTATCATCCCTTTTAGGTTTTTTCACCCATACAATAGTATTAAACCAAACGTGAAAGGAATACGGCTGAACCTTCTGTGTGATTTGAAAAGAATCACAAGTTCAATAATATAAATTATGTATGCGTTATATAGTTGGTGTTTTTTTAAAAAAAGGAATATGGCTAAAGCCCAAAGTACCAGTGTCCTTGTCCACGGAGATTCCCCTTTTCAGTATAGTCTATGGTGAGCAGCAAAAATTCAGACTTGCTCTTTTCTTGACCTCGCTGACACAGCAGAAAGTTAATATTTAATTTTTTGAAGGAAATTTTTATTCAAAACAAAGATTTGAAACTTGATTCATGTAAGATGTCATATCCTCAAAAGAGAAGTAGAAAAGAAGAAAATGAAAATAATCTGAGGAGTAAAAAGACATTTTCCTTTTTTTCTGAATCCCAAATTAAAACTGTTAGAATTTTATGGACTCCATAAAAGCAAAAAGATGTAGGTTTACATTTTAGAAGACAGAAGAAAATACATTCTTTCAATAGGCGTTATTTGAGAAGTGTGTAAATAAAAAGAACAATGTAGTTAAGTAGAACTTCATGACATTTCTTGATTTTTATCAACCAATTTGATCTCTTGCAGAAAATTTTCTAACACAAAAGTAGGAGTAAAACTTTGGAGTAAAAACAGAATAATATCACATGGAATACGTTTGAAACATCTTAGCATGAACTTTAAAATCAGTGAAAATATTAACACTTTGTGGGCATATATTTGTGTCAATGATTACAACTTATAAAAAAATTAAAAGTAAAAAAAATGTGGCAAAATTCTATTTTAAACTTCTGGAATGTACAAAGCAGAAATTTTATTTCAAAAAAACTTCATTGTCCAGATGAACCAGTTTCCAAACAAAATTTTTATTACAAGATGTATTTTTAGAATGAAATGAAATAAAACTCAATTATTACATTTTCAGTATCACGAAGTATGGAAAACATTGTCCTTTAAAGAAAGGATTTAAAAACTTGATTAGGAGTTGTTTTTATTTATTTGTTATCTACATGTAAATTCCACAGCCTAATGTAGGCTACATAACAAAACAAACTTAAATTTCATTGGAATGGACGTAACGACCATCATTGCATAGTAGTGAATGCCCATGATAAATAAACTAATATAACTGAGACGTAGTTTTTAGATTATCTGATCTAATATGACCTGGAAATCAAATTTAATAAAAGTTTGGATGCTACCCTGGAAGAAATGTCCCATTTTTTCCTAATAATCTTACTCAAGAAGTTCCAGTATTCCTAAAATTTGTAGTAGTAGGATCTGATGAGATTGTCTGCCTTGAAAAAAAAAATTTAACAGCTGAAATAATTGGAATAGTTGGCTGACATCTGTATATTATGGGTCAGTTTTTAAAGAATTTGCCTTTGCATTTTACCTTTTTACTCCTGTTTTACTTTAACATACTATTAGGTAAAAGATCTTTAAGCATCCTCCTTTCAACAATGGGACAAATGGAAAACATCTGAGAGGGTATTTTAAAAAATTTTAAAATGTATGTTTTAATAATTTATTAAGTTAAATCTTCCTTAGGAAAATTACTGGTCACCAAGGAAAATAATGCATTAATATATCTCTTACTATGTTCCTGCTGTGCAAATTTTTGTGTAAATACTTACTTTTATATATAAACATTACTATGCAGACCAAATTCATCACTAATGAATAAAAAACTTAAGTAGTATGGCTTATTTTGGAATTAATTCTAACTGAATAAAATGAATGAATTCTCAACCTGATTCTTAGCTGACATTTTTTTAAGCCAGTTATTTTCATAGGACTGTACTTAGATAACTCACACTAATGTCTAAAGGACCTTACTATGAATCATCAAGCAATGTCCTAACATTATATACAAATAAAATATCCCAGTGTGCTTTTACCATTATTCACATTGAAGAATTTGCAATTCAGTGTTTTCCTTCAACTACGTAGCCTGTAATGGTCTTAGATTCCTCCCATAATACCCCCAAATTTCCGATGGTACTTTTCCATTTAATTGACACTGATGTGTTTTAAAGTATAACCAATTTATATTACAAAAGCGGAAAGTGGAAGGTTCTATCAAGAGCTCATTAGCAAAGCATTGTTTTTTTATTGTTTTTTAATTTTAAATGCTGGTATCATCATTCATTGAGGTTTGGCCTGTCTAATCAATCTGGAAACAGTTACAATCTTTAATAGCATGGTGATAAAGCAAGCTTTTTTCTATGTATCAGCTACTAAATTATATCACAAACCAAATAGCAGTGGTTCCTTAAAACGGTTGACCAGAAAGAAGGACATAATCTGATTATGTATGACAAAAAAACAAATTCCATTTGTAGAATGATTTACATTGTTTATTATTTTAAACCAGCTCTCCCTCCACCTCCTTTTTTTTACTGGGTTAACTTTTCCTTTTCTGTAAGGCCATAGCTGGGTTTTTTTTTCCCCTCCGATTTATTGCCCAAACATGTTTTCACATAAGCAAAACTGAACATGCTGCTATTAATCATCATAAAGTTTTTGAAAATGTGGTTTTCTGGATAACTGGTACTTTGGGAGTTTTATAATAACCCTTTTGGAGTCTTAAACCAGCACATCTCCTCTGCAAGTTCATTCTAGAAAATGTGCTTTGTCTTTTATCTTTAGTAATCCGAGACCACTCTAAAATTAAGGCCATCAGGGAAATAGCAAACTGATGATGCGTTTTCTTGAAGTAGTGTTTTTTTTTGTTTTGTTTTGTTTTTTTTCACACTACTGCTTGTTCGACAGATCTTTCTGAAACATTTTTATCAGGCACCTGTAAAACAGAACATGTCTATTAATTCAAATTTTATATATGTTCAAAAGGAATTCTAAGTCAGATTCCCATTTAACTCATACCCTTAGTCAAAGGATATTGCATTAATAGAAAGGCAATCTCTTTTTTTACTCCTTTTTGTTTTCTTTCAACTATTTTCTTACTTCTATTTTTTATAATACTCAACTTCACTTGATTTATATTCTGGCATGCAGCTGAAAAAGCATTTCCATAAAAATTATTTTGTTTCTAAAACTTTTATTACATGAAATTTTAATGAAGAAAAGCCTGTGATATAGTGGAAAAAGTAGGATAAAATATACAAAACTTTTATTGAAGTCCTGGCTTCCCCAAATTACTTTCCTATGCCTATGCAAAACTTGTGAATTTCAGTTATGTGATCTATAAAACAGGAATAGAAATATCACCTAACAGTGCTTGTGAATTAAAGGAAGTAATGTGTGGGGTGGTGCTTTATTACATATGTTGTGCAAATGTTAATTATTTTAGCCCCATAAAGATGTATTATACCTATATTTATGGAACTTCATATTTCTACAGATACATCTAATGAGAACATAGAAGACTTACTTTCATCATCTGAATCAAATCCAAAGAGTGTCTGACATTTCTTTTGTGCAAGGTGAGCCTCAAGTGCTTCTGCATTACAGTAGGTGGTCAGGCATTTGCCACATCTTAATCTTTTCACTGATTTTTTATAAATGTTATCTTGATCAGAACAGGCATCTACTCTATCAGTCAGAAATTTTCTGCGTTTTGGCATACTAAGGTACCGTTCATCAAGGTAACTAGGAGGCAATGGTCTAACATATGGCTTTGTTAAAATTAAGCCATATGAAGTATGTTCACTTGCAAGATTTGGTTTGGATGGTGCCTGAGATACTGGCAGGGTATTATGTTCTTGTGGTACAACAGAGGGTAAAATAGAACCATTTTCTGTCCTGATTCTGTTTCCATCAGTTTTCAAAGCAGGATCTGATGAAACTAGAGGTGCTTGCTCTATTTCACTGTGTCCATTGACTAAATCACTAATACTACAACTATTTTCTGAATTTGGCTCTATGTCAGGCATCTTTTGGTCTATCAAGCTTATATTTGAAACAGTGTCATCAGAATGTTCATTTCCATTCTGGACTAAACTGTCCGATTTGTTTTCCATACTTTCTATACATGTCTTTGGTTCTGTAGAATCTCTCCTTGATTTGCTAGTAGGAACTGGCAGACTAACAGTTTGTTTCTCATTACTAGATGAGTCTTTCTCCTGATGAATAGAATTTGAATCTGTATGAACATCCAAAAGAACTGCTTCACTTGGTTGTACAGACGATTCTGGTGTTTTACTTAAATAATGCTGAGCCTCATGTTCATATAGCAGAGGAAGATCTTCAAAAAGCTCATGGCATTCTGGAAAACTACACTGAGCTTGAAATATCCTGTGACTTTTCGTATGCTGGGCAAGTTGGAATGGCAACTTAAACGACTCATTGCAATTAAAATGCAAACAAAAGTACACATTTGGATAGCTGTGTCTATTAAGGTGATCTATAAAATGTTGAGAATCTTCAAACTGCCTTTGACAAAATTTGCACTTTCCTTTGCTCCACTTCATTACTGTTTGTCGCACATTTAAGTCAGTTGGATGTACAGTCCTTGCATGTGTGTTTAGAAATCCAATTCTCTTAAATATTCTGACACAGCCAAGAGCAGGACACTTAAAATTTCCTTCTTGATCTGTAGCATATATGTCTTTTGGATGGCACACAGTTCCATTGATTTTATGAAGTACTGAAGTTTCTTGATTCAGGTCATAATCATCATCTTCATAATCACCTTCTTCATCTTCTTCCTCCCCGTAGTCATCCTCACATTGAGGTAAAGGCTCTGAAACATTATTTAAAGAAGTATCAGGATTGCCATTTTCAATAATGTTTTCAATCACATCTTCTGGTACACTTAGGGGAATTTCAATGAATTCAGCCACATGCTCAGGAATGACTTCTTTGTTTCCATCACTGGAAGCAGTCAGAGTTCCTACTTCCAAATCCTTGTTATCAGAATTTCCATTTTCAAATGAAATGGAAGGACTGGAATAATTTATTTCTTCCAAAGCAGTGATTTCCTGATCATCTTGTTGAGCTGCAGCAATTTGCTGTCTCTGTATCTTCTTAACATGATTCTTTAAATGCTTCTGCATAAGTCCTCTGTTTCTAAATTTCCTACCACATATTACACATGAAAAACTGCCTTTCTTCTGATGAGCCTGGGCATGCCTTACAATATGACCACCAAGAAATTCCTTGTTGCATAGCATACACCGATGTCTAGGAACATTGTGATCCACTTTGGAAGTGTTAAGAGCTGTAAGGTTTTTCTTTGTATTAACATGACCTCTAGGTTGCACTCCAGATAGATCATCAGCATCAGTCTCTCCAGTGCTCTGATCTGTAAGAGAGTCAAGCCCTTCATCTAAACTTTGCTGTTCCACTGTCTTTTTTAGATTACCTGTAGAATTTTCCAGTGTACTTTCATTTAGAAATCTAACTGCTGATTTATCATTCAGTAATGCCACACAGTTCTTCTTAATCATTACAAAGTTCCAAAATTCAGGATCAAAAAACAATCCCTTTTTCAAAATTGGAAGTAATTCAAAACGAACACGATTTTGAACACTACTTGTGCCTTCATTATATTCTTCATCTGGACGTTTGTAAAGCTCTTCAACAGTATGATAAGCTTCTAAGGAGCGCTCTAGAAAAAATATTGAAAGCGCACAAATCCTGAGGATCTCCAAATCATTTGGCAAAAAATGTGCAATTGTTTTATAAATTAGACATTTAGTCTTAGGATCATCATGAAGGTCAAGTTGTAGAGCACAACCACAAATTTCAACACAAATTTGCAAGCCTTCTTCTTCAACCTGTAAAAAGAAAAATATTACTACTAAATAACTTTTTTTAAAAAGTGATTATAGCAACTTTTTTTAAAAAAATACAATTATGAAGGGGAACCTTTTAGCACACAGTATTTCAAGGTGCAATTTTCCTTAATTGGTAGCTTTAACTCCTGTTTATTATTATCTTTCTTTTTTTAAAACAAGAAATCTGAAATAGATAGGACATTAGTTTTCACTTTAATTTTCAAGTTTAACAAACTCAGTAACCACAACAAAATATTTCATAAGTTTCAGTTATTACAACGGCTTACAAATGCAAGATTGATCACTTTATTACTTTAAATACCACTCTTACATTCTTTGACAGAAGGGTTAACTTGGAAATAGTGTTAAGAAATAATTTTATGCCAGTCATGCCTGTAATTCCGGTGACTGGGGATACTGAGGCAGGAGGAACACAAGTTCCAGGCCATCCTCAGGAACTTAGCAAGCTTTGTCTCAAAATTTAAAAGTAAAAAGAAATGGTGAGTACTTTAGTGGTAAAGCACCCCTAGGTTCAATCTACAGTTCCAAAACCAAAAAACAAAACTATTATGGAAATTTTTATAATGGTATACTAAACATTACGTATTTTACTGTTAATATTATTTATTTTCAATGCTAGGAATCAAAGCTAGGGCTTCGTGCATGCTCAAGTCCTCTATTACTGAACTACCACCCCACCCCAAGAAATGTTTATCCAAATAAAGGGGAAATGCAGTGTACATGAACAGAGTAGTTATCATTTGGCAATCTAACAGAATATCAGAATACTAAGCCTACTGGAAAATATCTAAAAATAATTTAAACTTTAAAACTTTTATTAATTACTCAAAGACAAATGTAACAGCCTTTATTTAGGAATCTGTTGTTGATCCATCTTAAGTTATAAATAATTCCTCTAACAATTTGAAAGAATCTATAAATACTTAAAATCATACACACACACACACACACACACACATATACAATGTACATACATATATGGTGCATATGTTACATAGTCATACTGCCTGCATATGATTATAGATGACAGGAAAGAGTACTATCTTGCCAGCCTCGTGCCCTCTTAATTCCTTACATGATGTCAAACCCTGCTTAACTAATTACAGTTCCAAAAACAGGCCTTAACTTCAGAGACTGTTCCCACTTTATCCGGGTGATAAATTCCTACTGATCTATTCGTTATTTTAGTATCAATTCTACTCTGTAATCAGTTCTCTCCATCCATCTTGGCTCCTGCCCTAAGGTAATCACTATTCTTTCCACTAAGAAAGACTTAACAATTTATATCTAAGAGGCATTTACATATTGTTTTAGAATTATCTACATATATGCCTACCTTTGAATTCCTAAATCACAGGCACAGTATCTCATTTTTTGTATTTTCCTATGGTTAGCAGAGAAGTTTGGTACATAGTGACCACTGAATAAATGTTTGCACAATGAATGGGAATCAAATTTATTCTACTATCTTTGGATTGCTCCTATAAATCCATCATCTCGGGCTTGAAATACTTTCTGAATTAAAAATTTTTAAGTCTATTACAATTAATTTTCCCACCTACATTTTCCAAGTATAACAAATTCAAGATCCACTAGTTTAAAACATAATTCCTTCTCTACCTTTCTCTTAAGTTCTGTATACATCCTCTGTCTTGACTTGTAAGATTATAAAGTATTCAAATGCACACGTTTTTTAAAATTTTAAGATCATCAGAAAAGTAAATAGGCTATTTCCTTACCTGAAATCCTTTAGTGGTTTCAGAATTATAAACTGAAGTTACAATGTTTAGTGAAGCATTCAAGTCCCTTTAGGAATAACCCCTAACCCCTAAAATCTCAACTCTCATCCACTTCACCATGTTTCTTGTTCCCGTATTAATGCCACCAGACAGTTGTGAAAAATAAATAATAAAATGAGGAAGAAGTGTTCTGTAAACCACAAAATTTTCTACAAATGTTAGTACTGTCCTCATCTGTTAAAACCCAAGCTAAAGCATCTTCCCTTCTTTATGAAGCCTTGGCAGATACACTATTTGTGATACCTTCTTCCGAATTCACTGTTAACTATGCCTTTTCTCATAGCACTGAAACACTTGAATGATCTCTATCAGATAAAAGCTTTTTTAGTAGGGCATAAACCATTAAGCATCATATTTTTGATGTTTATTTTATCTTTGAATTTTTCCTCAGTCTTATGTATTCTTAGGTTAACCAGACACACGATTGTGATACCTTCTTCCGAATTCACTGTTAACTATGCCTTTTCTCATAGCACTGAAACACTTGAATGATCTCTATCAGATAAAAGCTTTTTTAGTAAGGGCATAAACCATTAAGCATCATATTTTTGATGTTTATTTTATCTTTGAATTTTTCCTCAGTATTATGTATTCTTAGGTTAACCAGACACACGAAAGTAAGAAAGCTCTATAAATAATCAGAAAAATCAACATAATATAAACTTTCTATAACACAGGCTCTCAACTTTTGGTACAAATGAGAACTATATGTAAACACAGAGATAAATAGATGCATATGGATACATCTTGATTTTTTAAAATGAAGTCTTATCAGTGGACTCAGATACACATCATATGTTAAGTGTTCTATACCATAGTTTGTTTCTATACAGGAGAGGTAACTCTGACAATACATTTGAATAATAGTTAACTATTCAGTAAGGA